TGAATATCCATCTAGCACTTGGACATCTGAGTCTAGAGTTCTAGGGAGACGTGAGGGCCCAGGATGCAAACTTGGAGAATCTGAGTAGATAGATGGTATTTAAAGGGAAACCACAGGGTGAGACCACCAGGGTACTGGGCAGAGGCAAGGCTGAGCCCAGGCACCCACATGGAGTGGTTGGACGATAAGGAGACACCAGCCCAGGAGTTTGAGAAGCAGTAGCAGTGGGGGAGGGGGGGCGAGGAAAACGGAGAAGAAACATGTCCCAGAAGCCGCATGAAGAAAATATTTCAAGAGAAAGAAAGCAATGGGTCACTGTCATTACTACATGGCCCTGTCGGGTCATATAAGATGAGGACTGAGGACAGATGGTGAGATGTGGCAGCACAAGGTCATTGGACACCCTGCAGGAGCAGTTTCAGGAAGGCTGAGCTCCAAGGACTGGTTGGAAAGAGAGGGTTTGAGGAGTGTTCCTAGAGGGTGGAAAAGGTGAGTGGTGGCTAGAAAGAAACATGAGGTCCAGAGAGCTTCTTTTTAAGGAAGTGGGGCAGTTTCAGCGCTTTGTACACTGATAGCAATGAGACGATAGAGCAGAAAGAAGTGACTGTCCTGGTGAAAGGGAGAAATTGTCCTGATCACGGCCCTGGAGGGGGGTGGGCAATGCAGGGCAGAGGCCCTGGCTCAGATGCCAGCAGGGACAGGCCGCAGTAGCAAGTGGAAGCAGAAGAGGTGACAGGATTCAGTGGGGAGGGGAAGTGAGGTAGAAACCCTCCCTCAGTGAAATGAGGACCAAGGTCAAGCGTAGAGGCTGAGTGAGAAGGGGGAGGTTTGAAGGGAGAGAAGAAGCTGTGACGTAGCCTCCCAGAGCAGGATTCTAACCCTGGTCTTCTGGCTCCCAGAGCAGAACTCCCACCTGCTGTCCAGTAAAGCGGGCTCATTGCCAGGTTAATGGGGACAAAGGTCTGGCATCCCTCCTGTTCCTCAAGGGCTCATTTCCACCAGTCCTGGGTCTGCAGGGACTGATTCCTTGTGAACAGGACACCTACTCAGTTCAAGCAGTTCTCTAACCACGGAGGTCAGCTTCCTACTTACCAATAGCAAGAAAGCTGTTGCACTGATGTCCAGAAGCCTGACTCTTTGTTCTTTGCCTGGCAGGCAGGAGCCATCACAGCAGAATGGATCCCAAGGAAGAAAAAGTGAAAATAATTACAGAGGTGAGCGGTGGCTGAGATACTCCCGAGTCTGTGCTTGTGTGGGCCGTGCACTCACATCACACATGTTTGGGAGCGAGGGAGCTAGGCCCGCAACAAGCATGAATTGCTGGGCCACTGCACACAGAGGGGGCTATGTCAGGTGCGTGATGGGGAGGGGGATGGTGAAGGAAACGCAGCTCTGAGGGCACGCTGGGGTGCCTCTACTTGTCATCTTGCCCTGAATTCTGACACAGCAGTTCTAAGGTACCACCTGCAGCTGTGTCCAGCTCGGCTGAAGCACATAGAATTCTAAAGAATTTCAGAATGAAGGTGGCCATCGTAGATTATAACCACGAATCAAATCCTCCGTCTCATGGAGTTCTGCAATTCCTAACTCATTGTGTACAAAATGTCATTAACACTGGCTAGCACACAGAAGGAAAGCTGTCTCCAACTGGGAGACTGGAGCCCTCCAACCAGAGGAGACCTTATTCCTCCCAAACCTTGCTTCTCTCTTGGCTCCAGGACTCACTCGCTGGAGACCACAGAGGCAGAAGGAGACAGTACGCTGTTTCCAAGAGCAATTCAAAAAGCCTGAAGGAACACCAGATAAAACCACATCAAAACTCCAGATAAAACCACATCAAAACACCAGATAAAACCACATCAAAACTCCAGATAAAACCACATCATGCTACATTTGCTTATTCACTCATGCAGCAAATATGTGCTGTTCCTCTGGTCCCTGGGGATGCAGCGGTCATAAAACCCTGTGCCCTCATGGAGTTTACTTTCTGTCTAACTTAAAGTCCTACTGGTCTGCTCTTCATTGATGAAGGATCAAATCATGATTGAGAAGCCAAAAAGAACCTAGGCTTCCCATAAGTCCATTGTAAGCCAATAAGAACTTAGACTTGTCTTGCCCTGGCCGGTGCTGCTCAGAGGTAAGAGCATCAGCCTGCACACTGAAGGGTTGCAGTTCGCTCCCCACCTGTAGGTGCTGGAGGCAACCAGTCAATGTGGTGTGTGTGTTTTTTTACATCAATGTTTCTCTCTCTTTCTCTCTCTCTCTCTTTCTCACCCCTTTCCTCCCTCACTTCCACTCTCTAAAAAAGCAATGGGAAAATATAGCCTCCGGTGACAATTAACAAAAAAACTTAGACTTATCTTAAAGACCATGCTTGCCCACCTCAATGATATCAGCATTGTGTATCTAAGTTGGTGACTTTTTGAGCTAAGAGCACTATCTACCTGGCGGGCACCTGAAGCACAAGGTCTAAGTGCACCCAGAGTGTGAGTCAGAGAAGAGAGATCCCTTGTGTGGACCAAGGAAAAGCCCGCACCACACCCATTCCCTGGTTGGGACCTCGGACCTCTTCTATAATCAAGTTCCTGTCTTCTCTACCCCAAACAGCCAAGGGCACTGATGTGTAACTGGAACCCAGCCCAGCCCAGCAACCTCATGGCGTTCCTTTGAACTCTTCTATCATTAAAATCCATGCTTTGAGTTCCAGGTTTGTTTCTGTATAAGCATTCTTAAATTCCCAATTTTAGAGGAAAATTATAATAAATTTGGTGCACCAGGGAGAGGTTCTGACTTTATCTTGCAATTACTTTTACACCCAGAGGTGCTTGCTCCCCAGGTTGAAAAATTTTAGGACTAGAAAAGTTGAAAGCTTGACATTCGAGAGCATTCAGCTCTCACAATTTATGAGTAAAACTTTAGAAAATGTAATATAAAAGAAAAAAAAACAAAGTTTTCCATGTTAACGGATATGTCACTTTTCAAAGAGATCTGATGAATTTTTCTTTAAGTCAAAACTTTCATGATGAATTAGCATTTATCTTCGTTATTCTCTGCCTGATGGTAAGACTGGGAGCAAAGAAGCCCAACCCTCGAAACCCTCAGTATGGTCCTGAGGTCATCCTGTGTTGGGGTCCTGCCTCTGGGCCAGACCATCTGTCCTGGCAGATTCGTTCCTTAGCTGCTTTCTTTAGATTGCAACAGGGAGTATCCTTGTGCCTCCAGGGCCTGGAACACAGTAAGTGCTCAATAAAGGTCCTAAGCATGAAGGAGCACTCGCGACAATGGAAGCGCCATCATCTCATTTACAATGTTTCCCTATGGATACAACTTTTGAAGGACATACCTAGTTTGAGAAGAGTGGATGAGGATGGCTACTTTGATTCTGTCCACTCACACTCAAAATCAGGACATGATGGTGATTTTAACAACTAAAAATCACAGCCCTATTTCTTTTAATGACAACTCTTCCATTGCATTTTAATAAAGGAGTTCATTGAAAATTATGAGGATGCAAATGTAGGAAGAAAGAAGAAGACTTCAAAGACTCAGAGACAAAAAGGAAAGAAACAGGTAGGGAGTGACAAGAAACACGAGTCTGTCTACAACCACCAGCACCCACAGGGACCACACATCCTCCGGGAGAGGCAGGGATGGGGTGGGTGGTCCCGGTGTAGCACCTTGTGTGGGACAGATGCCCTTCGCAATGAGACCCTGGTTGGATGGGAACATTTTTCCTGTAAGGTTTCTCCTGTCCCCTGGGAGAGGAGTCTAGAAATGATGGAACGAGCCCCTCAAGTGTTGTCATCAAAGGTCATAAGCTAAGACTGGCGATAGATGGCAGTGCAGGATTACAAATTGTAGGGAACCCCCCTTCTTTCTCCAATTCCCAGCCCCAATCCTGCTTCAGCCCAAGCAGCAGGCAGACTCCTGTCTCCCCGGCTGCTCGCAGTCCCTCCCGCTCTCCTACCCCTGGAGTGGCTCTGCTTCGCTGGGAGCTTTCCTGAAAGGTCAGCTGCTCAAGGTAAATAGACTCCCTGGGTAAGAGTCCTTGCCCGTGGAGGGAGGATTTGTTTGGAGAACTCAGATGCCAGCTGGGAGGGAGGGGCAGGAGCGCCATTTTGAGCCAGCAGCCACGTGAAGGGGCCCTGCAGGAGGGCGGCAGGGGAGGTGGGAAGATGGGAGGGTCCCCGAGAGCCCAAGGCTGGAAGAAACGCTCCTCTCAGTTCCCCCCTCCCCAGCACACTCCAGTTGGGATGAGCTGGGCCCAGGAGCAGCCTTCCGGCTTCTGCGGTTGAGATGGAGCCGCCCAGAGGAGGGCCCAGGGGATGGGAGGTGCTGCCCAGCCACGTGGCTGGTCCCTCTGGCCACTCCGGAGCTTTAACCCCTTCCTGCAGGGTGAGTGATGGCTCTGCAGCCTGGGCACAGGAACCCATGGAGGCAGCAAAGGCTGGAGCAGATAGAAAAAGTGCAGGTCTTTAGATCAATGGCCACCTGAAGTGGTGAGCAAGGCTAGGCGGGTGTGAGATGGAGAATAGAATCCAGTGTCAGGCATCACACTTCCTAGGCATCATCTCATTAATTTAACGGGTACCAGGGCTCTGATCACCTGATCACAGACGGCACAGCAGTCTTGGGGTGTTGCAGAAACCTAGCGTAACATTTGCTAACCCCATGACACTTCAGGATCACTGGGGATTTATTTTTAAGTTGATGCCTCAAGATATCCCAGGCCATGCATTTAAGCCAGAATCTGTGCTTTGCGTAGTGATTGATACAGATCGGCATCCCAGTGAATTTTAATTTCCTTTCCTTCAGAGATGAGGAGGGAAGGAAGTTAGGAAGTCCCATAGCCCTCCCACGTCTCAAGGTAAATCTGAGTTCCGAGGCCAGCCTTTGTCTGACCTTATAGGCTGTCACTGGACCATGGCTGCCCCTGCCACTCTGCTCACCTCCCTCCTCTGAGAGTTTGGGGAAGAACCCCGAGGCTGTTCTTTGCCCTGTTTCCAAGAGTTGGAGTTGGGCTCAAATAGTTTGGTTGTGACTTTCCTGCTTCCCTTTCTCTGCACATCTCTGCAGAGCTCTGTACATTATACCTAGAAGTGAAAATATTCACCTTGTCTTGGGGTGACTTAGTAATTTCCCGAGACACCGCAGAGAAACTCAGGGTTGGCACTGCTTCCCTGGGGGGTGACCACAGTGGCATAGAGAGTGGGGTCCCAGGTTATCTAGATCTGAATACTTTAGGGTCTAGCCTCTGTTTAAGTGACACTCCTCATCCTGAGATAGGATCTGAGTCAACTGAAGCCCTGAGAATCACAACCTCCCACCCTCGCCTGCAGCTACGCACTGCTGGCCCCGAGGAGATGGTGTCCGGAAAGCCCCATGGTGGCAGCCAGCAGGAGCCTGCGCAGGAGGATCAGGACCCCGACACCCACCTTCTGAGCATGCCCACCCAACGAGGCCCGCGGAGTAAGTCTCTGGGTTCCTTCTCTAAAGATTAGTGATGCTGGGCATTTTGTCCTATGCTTCTCGACCATTCATATATGATGTTTGGAGAAATGTGTATCCTTTGTCCAGTTTCTAATCCAGATACTTGTTTTGTTGCTGTTGTTGTTGAGTTGTAGAAGTTCTTTATATATTCTGGACCATGACCCCTCATCAGATGTGTGATTTGCGTTATTTTCTCCTATTTCGTAGTTTGTCTTTTCCCTCTACTGACGTTGTCCTTGGATGCACCGAGGTTTTTACGTTGGAGGTGGTCCCTTTTGTCTCTTTTTGCTTTTGCTGCCTGTGCTTTTGGTGTCATGTTCTAGAAACCACTGCCAAACTCAGTGTCATGAAGATTTCCTCGAAGCTTTCTTCTAGGAGTTTTCTGATTTTAGGTCTTACGATTAGGTCTGTAATCCATTTTGAGTTGATGTTTCTATATGGTGTAAGGTAAGGGACCAACTTTATGCTATTGCGTGTGGATGGCCAGTTTCCCAGCACCATGTGTTGAAGAGACTGTCCTTTTCCCATTGAGTGGTCTTGGCATCCTTGTTGAAGATCATTTGACCAAACACGCGAGGGTTTATTTCGGGACTCCTGGCCATGAGGCCTTGAGCAACTACCAAATCCACCTGCCCCACAAGAGCCACCTTTATAAAATGGGGGTGACAAACAATAGGCGGTGTGCAGCTGTTGCGACAATGAAATCAGGTGAGATGCTGAAAGCTTCCCTTAAAAGTCTGGCGCGTACCTGGTAGCCTCCTCCAGGTGAAAGAGAAACTTGATGCTAAATAACTAACAAAAATAATTACCTTGCCCTTACCAGTTTGGCTCAGTGGATAAAGCATCGGCTTGTGGACTCAAGGGTCCTAGGTTCGATTCTGGCCAAGGGCATGTACCTTGGTTGCAGGCACATCCCAGTGGGGAGTGTGCACGAGGCAGCTGATCGATGTTCTCTCTCATCAATGTTTCTAACTCTCTATTCCTCTCCCTTCCTCTCTGTAAAAAATCAATAAGAAATATATTTTAAAAATAAATAAATAATTACCTTTTCTGTGGCTAGGACACGGCAGGCACCTTGCTAAGGTTTCTACATGCACTACATTTCTCACTTCCCAGAACAGTCCTATCATCCAGCATTGCTCTAGATTAGGAAATAATGGTTCAGAGAGAACCAACATCTAGTGGTGGGGCCTGAGCACAGACTCCGGTCTGCAGGCTCCAATGCTACAACCAGCCCTGTCCACAGTGGCTCCCACGGCCACAAGGACTCTTCAGACAAGGCACAGAGCCAGCTCAGAGTCTTCACAAGGTTGACAGCCTGCTGTGGCACTCTCTTTTACCCAAAGCCTATCACTCAGGTAAATCACACACCTTCCTCTCCCAACCTAGACTAACCCCTTCTCTATTTGGGGTTTTTGTGTGTCCTTCTAGCTCCTTACCTTTCAAAAATTAGGACACAGCACAGCTGGTATGGCTCAGTGGCTGAGCATCCACCCATGAATTAAGAGGTCACTGCTTCAATTCCAGGTCAGGGCACATGCCCGGGTTGTGAGCTCCTTCCCTAGTAGCAGATGTGCAGAAAGGAGCTGATTGATGTTTCTCTCACATGGATGTTTCTATTTCTCTATCCCAATCCCTTCCTATCTTTCTAAAAATCAATAAAAAATATTTTTTAAAAAAATCAGGATACATATCATCCCCTTTGGGAAGGCTCTCCCTCTCCCTCCGTGTGGCCCCTGTGCCCATGTGTCTGATGTCTCTTTTTATTGGTATGCAGCGCCCCTGTCCACTGAACTATGGATCTCTGAAGGCAGAGGCTGACTTCTAGCTGTGGGTAGCACATGCTGGTATACAGGTGGCACTCAGCAGTGCTCACTGACTGAGTGAACAGCTGTCTCAGGCTGGCCTTTCTGCCTTGGACTGGAGGCTGTGCTCTGGCTGAGGTGTGCTCACTCACCACACCTACCTCCATGCCCACCATGCCCTTCCCCACAAGTCTGCCTACCTGGGTGCAAAACTGACTTCCCAAGCCTCTCGGGGATCTGACCTCACCTCTGAGCTACCACACCAGCTCCTCACCTTGAACCTGCAACCGTCTCTACTCTGTGGCATTCCTATATGGCTCCTAAAGTTGTCAAGGTCAGATGAGGTTCAGACACTCAGATACCAGCACCCTGGTTCCATGGCCGCCCCCACTGCACCAGGCCCATGTCCGGAGGTGCTACGTCCCTGATTTACAGCAGCACAAATCTATGCAGTGAATGCTTTGGCTTCTAATTTGCTGTTCAAACATATACATAGTCAGGACATTCTGAACAAAGGAAGTGCTCCACTGAGCAGGCACTCGTTCCAAATCAAATAAACATAGAACAAAAGTACACTCATTCCCCCAGGATTCCAACTCGCATCCCCTCTTCAGGGAGTGACTATCACATGTTCCTATGAACATAAATTTCTTCATTGCTGGCATCTGTTTTCCATTCATTCATGTTAGTTTCTCTGATTAAAGCATCATTTCAGAGCCAATTTCTCAGTTTTGACTGAAAAGGAAGTGTGGAATCTGATGAAATTTGATGCAAGTGAAAGGAAACATCATTTAAGTCAGGCACACTTTTTTAAAGCCATCAAGGCCTAGAGAGACTGACCCAGGAAACAGATGTTAAAGGGACCGTATGAGACAGAAGGGAGAACTGCCCAAAGGAGCTGGGTGTTGGGAGTTACATCTGAGCCCAGCAGCTGGAAAAGGGAAAGAACATTCTAGTCAGAGGATGCATATTGGGGATGCAGGCTTGCCAAACAGTTCTGGAGACTCTACCTCACATGGTGCTGAAGAGCCAAGTATAAGTAAATAGTACACTGTATTCTAAAATATTTTTTATTTTCTGAATATTATGATGGAATGACTTGAATATCTCATCCATAAGTTCTTGCATAGCCTCAAATCAAATCTTTAATAATTTTAAAATTGCTCAGCCAGTGTGGCGCAGTGATTGAGCATCGACCTATGCACTGGGAGGTCCCCGGTTGATTCCTTGTCAGGGCACATGCCCAGGTTGCAGGCTTGATCCCCAGCAGGGGGTGTGCAGGAAGCAACTGGTCCCCAAGAAACCAGCAGGGAGCCAGCAGTCCGATGTAAAAGCATAAGAGTCTTTATTCGAGCTAGCTCGGCTCCCCCACCTTGCTGACACAGCGACAGGAAGCAGAGAGAACTCTGTGTGGAGAGGGGTTTTATAGGGGGTTGGAGTAAGGGGAGGAGAAAGGACTGTGCTCTGCCGATTGGCCAGGAGCAAGTCGGTGTCTTGTTCCTGGGTGTGGCTAGCAGAGGCTTAGACTTCCGGGAAGGAGCTCCTTGCCAAGCACATGGCCAAGGTAAGATGGAGGGCGTATTCCTCGCCCTTTCAGCATGTGCCCTTGCCTAGAATCGAACCCAGGATTCTTCAGTCCTCAGTCTGACACTCTATCCACTGAGCCAAACCAGCCAGGGTTTTCATTTTATTCTTAGTTACCCAATGTGAAGTTCCTGGCAGGACCAAGGCTTTCGCTGTTGATCTCAAAGAAGCCCAGACAAATGGAGAGCTATCAACAGCCTTTCCTGTTTGTTTATGCAAAGTTCCAAATCTGCAAAATAAAACTGCATTCTCTTGTTATTTTAATCTAATCTTTCCTTTGGGGTGGAAAGTATTGTTTTAAATTAAATGTCTTATTTTTTTTAGGCTTGCCTCCTCTTCCTTCAGCTTCTAGAACGGGCTTTGCAGAATTTTCCATGAGGGAGCGCATGAGGGAGAAATTAAAAGCTGCGAGGGTAAGAGGACCGCGTGAATGCTTTGTTCAGTCCTCAGGGCAGCTCTTTGGGTCTTGTCTCTGACTTGCTTTGTTTGTTCAAAACTGTGTGGATCTGAATAGCGGTAAATGTTTTTCACATGTTGAATGCTAATGTAATATTTAACATTGGCGCACATATTTTCATACTGAAAGTGGACTTAGTCTTCCTGGCGGGAGTTTTAGATCATCTAGAGGCCCTTTCACTCCATTGGCGCAGACAAAAATTAGCCTTGAGAAGCATTCATTGTTGTTCTTCTAAACCACCTTGCTTGCTCTCATTGCTTACGAAGGTAAAGCGTGTATCTTTCACTGATTGTACTCCCTGAGAGGGTGACTGTGGTTTTCATAGCGTTACTGACCCCATGTAGCAGTAATTTTCTGTTTGACTTTTTAGTCCAAAGCAGAAAGTGCGTTGCTCCAGGAAATTCCCACCCCTCGGCCCAGGCGCTTACGAAGCCCCAGTGAGAAAGAACTGGAGACTGAATTTGGTGTGGAGGTGAGAAACGGGCCATCTCTGCTTTATGATCGAAGACAGTGAAACAGAACTTAAAAGTTCCAGCAGAAGTTCTAGAACAGAGCTCTGCACAGAGGAGGTGTTAAGTGCTTATTAGTAATTATAATAGCTACTACTTATAGAGTGCTACTCGGTGCCAGGCATTGTGCCAAGTCTTGAACCCGTGTTATCCCATGTCATTACCCAACACCCCTAGGGGGTGGGTGCTATTTTTTTCACTCACATTTGACAAATGAAGAAACTGAGGTTCAAAACGGCTGCAAAGCCCTCCCCAGGTCATAGAGCATGTAGGTGGAAGAGCCAGGATCTGATCCCAGCTCTATCTCATCCCCAATCTGTCTTATGGGTCAGAGTTGCTGGATCCATGGATCTTGCCGGGAAACAGAGAGAGATAAGAGCAGATTCAGATGGTGGGGGGCCTTGAACATCACACTAAGGAGCCTCAGTGGTTCTCTACAAGCCATGGGAATCTGTTGATGATAGGATGGGGCATGGTGTGAATGCACTGGGGTGATTTTGTTCCAATCTGAGGAGCATCTCCATGGGTGCTCTTCTAGAGAGGTCTGTAGGGGAGGGACCACGCCTGGAGAAACACATTTAGGAAGCATTGCTACTGAGTTTTGAAGGTTTGAGATGCCTTTGCTTGCTGGAGGAAAGAAGACTGGAAGAGGAGGGTCTTGCCACTTGGAGAAAAACTTAACAGTAAAGGCCTACGAGGCAGAGAGGAAGCCAGTAAAAGATAGAAATACTTGGCAAGGATGTGGATGAAGGACAAGCTGTAGGAGGGTAGAAGGAGGAATGGACAAAACAACAGAGTAAATGGTTCAATGAAGTGTGTTTGCAAGTCTGATCTAACTGTTTGTTGTTGGTGATGATGATGTTTTGGTTGTTCTTCACCATGGAGATGAAGAAGCACAGGCTTTGGGAATATTTCCATAGCATAACCACTGATTTCTTATATGTACCTTTCCTTTTTCTGTGATGAAAGGTTATAAACATTTCATCTTCATCCATCCCAAGCAAACCAAAGGTTCCATGATCATCAGGGAAGTTTCAACCCTGCTCGTGTGCTATGGTCCAGGGTTCTTTAGTAGGAACACTCAGTGGGCCCATGAAGTGACTTTTTGACACTTTCCTACTGCATTCTACTGAGCAGACATTTCTTTTTCATTCATTCTAATTTATTTTTTTTTCCTTGTAAGAACCACCATTTTTTTAAATATTAGAAAATTCAGAAAAACTACCTAAATTCCCATTAGCTTGGGACAAACACTTCAATTATTTTGGTAGGTGTGTGTGTGTCTCCACATTTGGGCAAGTGGGTTAAGTGATAGGAGGATCTGATCTCTTCTATCTGGTCTTGTCTATACCTTCTGATTGATGCTCAGGTTTCACTTGTCCATGGGCCATGACTATGATATCCTAAAAAAGCTGGAGGTTCTGGAAGTACTAATATATTCCCTTGGTGTACGAGGTGCTTATTTCTCCTTGTGAATAGATCCTGACTCACATGTCTATTATATTCCCCATCCCCTAAAAACCATTCCATGGAGTTCAGACCAGATCTCAGATTCCTAATGGAAGATCTCGCCCATGAACATATTTCTTCATATATGTATATACCTCAACCCAGAAGGAATATCTAAAAAGTGGTTCATTTCCATCCTATGGAGCAAAGGGTATAGCACACAAAGAACCCAGCTGCCCAGTGGTAAATGCTGACAAGCTCACTCATCAGCTGTATGACCTTGGACATGTAACTTTCCACCTCTGTAAAATGGGGATATACCAGAACCTAATTCTTGGCATTGTATTGAGGATTCGAAGTGTTCACACATGTTACAGTGTTTCTAACAGTCCTGGCACACAGTAAACCCTCTCTAAGTATGAGCTCATGTTAGAGGCTGTAGAATCAGAGAGAAAAGCAGAAACCAGTTGGGAATACTTCGGTCAGTATCTAAATTCACCAACACAGACCTGTGCTTACTCTCATCTGCATTTCATTTCACTTCATTCTCAGTGACTTCTGATAAAACAAAGCTAAACACAAATCTCCAAGAACCCTTAAACATCAAGGTGGAAATTACACAGAACATTTGAATACTTGGGCTCCACTAAACAGGACCAAAATTTCTCTATTTGGGGATCTGGGTCAGTGTCCCAGGTTACCCAGGATCTGATCCTTTGACACACTCTCCCTGGTGTCCAGCCAGCATCTATGGAGACTCATTCCTGCCAGATGTCCAATGGGCTCTGAACTCACAGTGGTGACAATAGCCTGCCCTTGAGGAGCCCTGGGGATTCAGACATGTTCACGGACAGTGGA